GCACCTGTGTCAGTCTTAGTGCCAGAGTGAATTGCCACTGTCCATCCTACCTGAGCATGGCTTGCCACCCAGCTAAGTTTATGAGGCATGTCAGGAACAAGAAGCACTGTCCTATCCAGGACTGAGAGGGAATATTACTAAACAAATAACTGCAGAAGCAATCACCATCACAAACATCTGTTCACACATGCACAAGCACTCACCCTTCTTCCCTATATTCATCATCATTATCTTACGGTTCCTCCTCTGCTTTTCTCTTATTTTCTCTCTTTTTTTCTCAGTTTCTCTGTCATTCATTCATTCATTCATTCACACATATACAAGCACCCACCACAGCTTTCCACCTCCTGCAAAGATGCCAGCTCCTTGCCAGTTTGGCTTGTTTTTGGAACACCACATGTGATTTTCCCCCAGCTGCTGCCTACTCTGCTTTTATTCTTCATCTCTTGCTCTCCTCCAACTCCTATCTCTTTCTTTCGGGCGGAAGCATGAGCTTGGAGACCAAACCATGCAATTTGGCCCATAAGAGTTCCAAAAGGCCCCCTACTTTGCATCTGGATCACAGAGCTATGTTTTTTCTTTCTCCAACATAGCAGAACCTGAGAGTTTTGGTCCCAAAAATTAACTTTTCAAGCTCTCCAACAGAATACTGGGGGTTGCCTGAGCCCCTGGCTGCTGGATGATTATTCTCATTTTGCAGTGCCTGCTCTTCTTTCCCAGTTCCTCCTCATTCTTCAGAGAGGGTAGCACTGGTGACAAGGTATAGGAAGTGCCATGAGCTGCACAGAAGGAAAGCAAAAGCTACATGTGACCACAGACAGCTGACCTGTGCTTTAGGACAGGTCAGCAGTGATAGCTGGCATGCATGCATTTCCAAGTCAACTGGATGAAACTAAAGAGGCAAGGAACATTTAAAGTTGTAATTTAATGAAAAGATTGGCAATCTCTGCTGCAGAAAGCTCAGCATCCTTCCAGTTCTACAGTCTTCGTGGTGCTTTGGGGGTTTATTACATTTAAACTTATATAAAACAAATACATCTATATTATATAGGGATGTCTTCCATTCTCCTGGCCCCCATTTTGACTTAGGAAGTGACCCTTGTCGCTATTCAAATGAAAAAATGGCTTGGAACGTTTGTGATAAAATTTCCATTTGACCATGCAGTGACAAGCAACCAGCCTGTTAGCTTTTAATGACTCTTGTAGCTCATTATACTTCCTCGATCATTATTCTTTTTCTTAAAGGAAGCTTCAGTTATTTTTTGATGTGGTGGAAGACTTCTCAAATTTCTAGTTTGAAATAAGGAAATCTTGTACTTAATCCATTGGAGGCAATTACATTTCTTCCCTTGATGGTTTTACAGCCTCACAAGATGAGTAAGGTTGCCTCCTCCCTTTTGTTTCAAGAAGTGCTGCTGGCTTCTGGGCTGCAAAATATACTGTTCTTCCTTTAAGATGTGGAAATCCTTAGCATATCATGTACTAGCAGAGCAACAGGAAGTAATATTGTGAGTTGCACATTAACCAAGTCTGATTCCCTTTCCTTCAGCTCCAACACTGAAGGGTTTAAGAGACAAGTAGACAACCATCAGACAGATATACTTTGATTTAGATTAGAGATGGGGGTATTCATATATGAAGACCCCCACACAGGTGGACATAACAAGGGTTCAGCCCCCTGGGGCCAGAACGTCCACTCACCTTCCACAATTTGCCATGAGCTTCACAATCCTTTCCTGTTGCTCCAGAGCTTGCAGTCTGCGAACCACTCTTCGACCTCGCAGCAAGGCTTGTTCTCCTGCCTCCTGCCAGGAGTGGCTTTGCAGACCACAAGCTCTGGAGCGATCGGAAAGGATTGTGGAGCTCGCGGCAACAGCAAAAGGTGAATGGACGGTCTGGCCCCAGGGGGTTGGACCCTCGTTATATCCACCTGTGTGGGGGTATTCATATTCGTATATGAATATAAACACCATCTCTAATTTAAATTCCTACATCTAGCAGGAAGTTGGACTCGATGGCCTTATAGGCCCCTTCCAGCTCCATTATGCAATGATTCTGTGCTGGAGAGCTTTTCGCACCAACTGGCAGGTTGTAAATAACTGTACAGTGGTGCCCCGCTTAACGATTACCCCGCTCCACGACGAATCTTTTTCGATGAGGTTTTTGAAATCGCAAAATGATGTTTAAATGGGGAACATCCACTTTACAATGATCGGTTCCCTGCTTTGGGAACCGATTCTTCGCTAAATGATGATTTTAAAACAGCTAGTCGGTGGCTCTCAAAATGGCTGCCCGCTGTGCAAAATGGCTCCCTGCTGTGTTTAGGACGGATTCCTCGCTTAACAGGCGCCTGAAATGGCCGCCCTATGGAGGATCTTCACTGCACTATGAGGTATTTCACCCATTGGAATGCACTGAACCGGTTTTCAATGCATTTCAATGGGTTTTTTTACTTTCGCTCGATGACAATTTTGTTCTACAGCGATTTTGCTGGAACGGATTATCATCGTCAAGTGAGGCACCACTGTAGTTACACTGGTTAGTCTTTTGAGTGCTGCAAACCTAATATAACTGCCCTGCAGAAGTAATAACAGATCCTGGGAGAGCAGAGATTAATTAACTCTTTTTCTTGATATACTACTGCTGAGGTGTCTCTTGAATTCTACATCAGAGTGGTACTGTACTTAACTTACTCCGTAATGCTGAGTATTACAATACTGAAATAACAATACTGAACATTATACGGAACACATCACACAGACACACACACATATCTCTCTCTTTGTTACATGTATCGAATCCCCTCCATTTCTTGCAGTTTTGTGCATGCCTAGCAATTTTGGCAGACACTTGTAGATGCTTGGTAGAGGGACTTGTCCATTATGTGACAGAGGGGTGTGTAAAATAAAAAGGTCAAGAGAGTAAAACTTAATATTCTTGGGAAGCAAGACTTTAGCACAACTTGTTCCCTTGATGACTTAATGCAAGGTTTTAAAGTTCTGGTGGGAGAAGGTGATAAACAAACAGGGAAACCTGTTCGTACAGATAGGCAGTGTGGGCAGTGATCAGACTGGAGGGAATTACAAATTTTTGGCTCATCCAAGTGTTTTGAAGAAACGCTTTTAAAACACTCCTGTGCTTGCTTGCTTGCTTGCCTGCTTGCCTGCTTGCCTGCTTGCCTGCTTGCTTGCTTGCTTAAAAGTAAATTAGTGTTATTTTCAGTAGAGGCTCACTCTACTACTAATCAAGCTTAGAAATCAACTGTTTTGCAAAAAAATTCTTTCAATAACGAGGTACGCTTTAAAACCATTAAAGAGTGATCATCTGTGCTGGATTTGTGTATGTGCATGTTTGTAAATTACTGCCAATATTGAGTTCCTCCAACCTAAAACGTCTTGCTACCTGAGTTCTGCTGTGGAACAAAATAAAATGAAAACTAAACCACATTCTAAAGGGGTTTTTTTTAGGTCACAGTTTTCATCACTTATTTAAGCCTTGTGTCATCTGGACCGCTGGAAAATATTAGAGTTATCAGGACACAGTGAGGTACATATGGGGGAAAACGCACCATGTGAATGACCCACTAAAAAGCCACTAAAATATGGAAGGTTTAAGCTATAGTAAGCCTAGTTAAGGTTTCCCTGCTTGGTCCTAAACCACATTCTAAAGGGGTCTAATGAGAGTCAGGAAGTTATGTAAAATGTCTAATAAATTAGCACGGTGCCTATGTACTGTCTAGGAACCCAGTTCACAAAGCAGCACAACATTCAGTCATGTTATTATAAAGTGAGGCCTACACATTATGCAACACAAGGTCTATTGTTTTCATGCAGAAAACCATGTGAGGCCTATACACAGACTATCATGTCACATCTGTAAGTTGTCCTGTGAAAGGATGCAGTGAGTACACAGAGGGGACGCTTGTTATGCTCAGTCTCATATATGGACGATGCATTGTGTATTTTCATGTATGAAGCAGCTCTAATACCAGTGCTGGTCCTAAAGTTGGGCAAAGTGAGTCAGTTGCCTGATCATGAGAAACAGGGTGGAAGCCATGGTATGCTAGAGGATAGAGCAGTGGGTGACGTACAGCTTGTCTTCTGCCTCCAACCTATCCTGATGTCCTAAGATGTGTGGGACAATTCTAAAGTAACATTCATCTGTCATTCAAGGATGTTCGTGTTTGTGGAATGGGACAGCATTTCATCTTTCTTCTCATGTAACATGTCTCAGACCTAATATATCTCCACTCTGCTAATACATTTTCCCTTGCAGAATTTGAAATTTATGGTATCTAAAGTACTGACTTCCTTCCTGTAAAATCCCACTGAAGTCTTTCAGTTTTCCCAAGATATACTAAATTTAAGAGGAAACCTGAGCAGCTTCACCTTGGTGAATACCTGTGGGATTTTTGATATTTTTTTCTGTGTAACTGGGGTAGGCAAAAACCATATGAAGTATGTTTGCTTTCTCTTAATTAGCAGCATTACTGATAATTTTCAAATGAACATTTTTCTAGAAAATCCATGTTTTAAAAGAGTATGTAAAATGGCAGTTCTTTTCTTAAATTGCTCTGTTGTCCTATCTTTTTACCCGTGTTTTGATATTTGATTCTCACTGCTTTTCCCATTTTAATTAACTAAAAAACAGTTATCAATTTGAATTCACGTTCTGTGTTTTCTAGGAAATGTAGTTGACCTCAGAGCACAATATATGACGTACTGTATTCAGAAGCAATATTTCATATCAGTATAAAAACTATTTAGAACGAAAGAGTGAAAACAGTTTTAGTTCTAGGGTGTGTGTGACTTGATTTAAAGTTCTGTTTTTCAGTTCTGTTTTGTAGTGCTGAGCAAACATGAATGCACAGAAAATAAAAGGGCCTTTTCTAAACTTTGCTGTTTTTCACTCTCCTAATAAATCACTTTTCTAGAGAGCTATTAGTTACATATTCATTACATATTTAACACTGGTGTGTCCTATTGTGTTTTTTCTTTTAGAGTATCTGGAGGTGAGCTATTTGACCGCATTGTGGAGAAGGGATTTTACACTGAGAAAGATGCAAGCACTTTAATACGGCAAGTCTTGGATGCTGTGTATTATCTCCACAGAATGGGCATTGTTCACAGAGACCTCAAGGTAATATAATTTCTTGTCATGATGGATCGACTATAGAACAGCAATGGGAATATATGACCCTCCACATATTGTTGAACTTCAATTCCCATCAGTTCTAGCCACAATGTTGCCAAGTATGAGAACCGATGAGAGTTGTAATTCAGCAACAGCTGGGGAGCCATAGATTCCCATTTTTGTGTTAAGTTAGGAGAAATAGCTTGCTAAAATAATCCTTATGCTTCCTACATATTATTGTTTTAAAAATTTCCTAATGGATAGAGTGATGGGCCAGAACTGAGGAGACCTGGGTTCAAATTTCTATTCAGCCATGAAAACTCACTGGGGGGCGGGTGGTAAAACCACTCCTTAAATATCTCACTTGAAATAACCCATTTGGGTCACTATAAGTTCTGACTTGATGGTGATTAAGGAAACAATGGTTGGAATGAGATATTATAAGAGAGATGGAGCTATTGCCAAAGAAAAAAGCCCTATGTTTAGTTTTCCTAATTTTCTAAATTAGTCTTTTCTACTCCACACCTCATTGTTGTCTAGCAGGGAACATTTAGTTGCTTTGCAGCAGCAATTCATGTGCCACAGTGGCCCTGAACTTCAGGTATCTTTGTTGGATCCAGTTCATGGTATCTTCCTAAGACACTCTCTTCCTAGGGATCCTGCTAGGCTGGCAAGTCTGTGTTACTTTTCATGCAAAGTGACCTTTTAAACAACAACAACAATGGCAACAGCATAGAATCCTGTGGCACCTTATAAACTAAAAATATTACGATGTCATAAGCTCTTCTGGTCCACAGTTCACCTCATCAAATCCATTAATGCTTTTCTTGTTATTATTCAGTTGCTTTACAAATATATATATAGATTTGTAAAGGTGATTTAGACCTATTCATTTTGATTAGTTGTAATGATGGGAATGCTGTCTGCTCTGCTTCCTTGTTGTTTCATTTTATTGTGTAATTGGGATTAGCATTTTTAGATGAACCACTTTGGGAGTTATTTCAGCTACAACACAGGATAAACAGTGTGCTAAGTTAATGGCTGAATTAATGAATGAATAAACAAACAAACCTAGAACAACAAGGGGGAGAAATTGGCACAGCCCAATGTCATTCATAATGTCAAATCCTATCCTCAGAGACAGGTTTTTGTCACAAGTTATTTTCATCTCTGAATGTGCAGCTTATACATGAGGAGCAGTATCTCTGTGACTGCAGATTCAACTTTAGCAGGATTATGCATCTCCCTGGATATTCTTGGGAAAACAACATTGAACTGCAAACTTTTCCTTCCTCCACCTTGTCCTCCCATGATTATTTATGACTGTAGTCATATGTGCAGTAGGACCTGGAAACATTATGCCGGAAAGGGTACAAGGGCATGACTTTTGAAAACTTTTCCCCCTTACTTTGACTTTTTGAGGACAGAAGGAGTTTAGAGTCAAAGCTGAATTCTAGTTATAGTAGTGGTCCTGTTTGTTAGTCTGTTAGGAATGAGTTGCCTAGTATCATCTTTTGCTAACACAGCCTTGTCCTGAAATAATATGATTGGCACAAAATTGCTTTTAAGATTTATTCCTGACACAGAAGCTTTGAAGAGCAAACTCAAGTAATTCAGACAATGCTTTGGATAAGCTGCTAATGCTTCTACACTTTGCACCTAAAGGAATTCTTCAGTTATACTTTTTTAAACAAGTTAATCTTATTAGCAACACATGCCAGAGAGAAATATGAAATGTGACTGGGATGGGGGGAGCTGAGGGAACTTACTTAAGAGTTTATGTAAGGACGCAGTAATGAAAATAGATCCTATAAGTCTGTGAATTCCTTGGCTGCATTCTTCAGGCACCTTTGTTGAGGGTATTTTAGAGACGGCTCTGCAACTCAGCGAGTTCAGTTATACACATAGCTGTCAAGCAGTGAGATGGCAGTGCACTATACAAATGTCACCAGAAGGAAGCATGCAGGAGCTAGGTGAAGGCTGCAGTAGAAAGTTGTCAGTGCCCCACTGGAAGCATTTCATTGGCCACTGTGGGGAAACAAGTTTCCAGGCTAGATAAACTTTTAGCTGAATTTGAGCAATTCTTTTTATGTTATTATATTTGCATAATGCATCTATATGAGCTTGCATTGACAGCTTGTTGCCTCCCCACCACAGCTGAAGGGATACAAGACAAAAGAAGAGCCACAAGCAGGGTGAGCCTCAGCAGAGCCCTCTACTCGAAGGAGCCCAGAAGAGATGGCTGGCTCCCAAGCCAAAGGAGCCCTCCTCCTCCTGGATAAACTTGCTATATCAGTGAAAGGAGACCTGGCTGTAGCCACTGCCTGCAGCCCCTAGGGACCCATCCCACTTCTCTTTACTTGCTAGGGGTGCTGTGGGAAGTCTGAGGTTACTTGCTTCCAATAGCTGAGTGTTTATAGTGAAAGTATGTTATCAAGGTTTGGGATAACAGAGAAGGTGGAAGCTTGGGTGTACTGAACAGGAAGCATGAGGCTGAACCACTGGAGAAATAGTTTGTTAACCCACAAAGACTGCCTTTGAAGTGAAGAAAGGAATTTTCTGTGTTTGCAAGTATTCCATTCCATGAATGTGAGGGGAAAGAAGAGATACAAGAGCGACTCACCTCACCTGGGCTCTTACTTTGAAGATGTCCTCAAGAAGTTACTAAATTCACAGCAAAGGGGGCTTGAGTCTTTCCTTTTTCCTAGTGAACCTAGGTTAAGACACCCAACTGTAGTGACCTCGCTGGCTTGTTCCCACCCCTGGAATAATTTTGCCTCCACCTGTAGCATCTTACCTGCAACTCCTAGGGAATGTCTAGCCATCTCTTTTCCGCATAGGTAGAATTGTGAGGAAGCTGATCTTATCCCGTTCCACTAACTGCTTCCCTGTAGTAAAGGGACATGATCAAGCTTTGGGACATTAAACAATCTGGACAATAAGGGGCCACAGGCTATCTAAACAAGAAGCATGAGGCTGCTGTAATGGAGAAAACTTGTTAACTCCACAAGAGCTGATGATAAGGTAAAGAAGGGACACGTACCAGTGAGCAAAATGCTGTTCCATTCCTTGAATGAACTGCAGTAAAAAGCGCATCTTGTCCAGTAACAGAACTGGAAAAACCCAATAAATTCCTAAGCAACAATTAGCAGTCTTGTTCTTCGTGGATGAACCAATGAGAGGATGGCAGCTTTGAAGTCTCCTTGGCCAGAGCTTCAAAATGTTATCTTGTAGGACTGCAGTTCCCAGAATATCTCAGGTAGTATGACTTCAGGAGGAATCTAGGAGTTCTAGTCCATAACAGTAATGTTTCCAAGCTCTAACCTTGCTATGGAACAACCTTGGAGATGGGCAAAGGTTTCAGTGAAACATACAGTGTTTATTATGTGAGAAATGTGTGTGTGTGTGTGACCTACACAATTGAATGTGTTTTGAAATAAAGAATGTCTTTGCTAAAGCCACAGTAATGAAATTTTAGAAAGCAGAAGTGATAAGCTATCATGTAATAACTGTAGCCATCACATAAATAAAATATCCACTGGGAATGTCTGTCCAATATGGACTATGGGAGCATTGTATCATAACAATGTTGCTGCCTTAAATGGTGGGGGTGTCCTTCTACATCAGCTTTGCTTTGGAACCAGGGAATGCAGTGGCATAAATCAGCCCATCTGTTTCTTGTCATTTCTTGGAAACTCCTGGCTGGAACATACGCTGGGTTTATAAAAGGAACTTGTTAAATTATGGTAGGAATTTGTATCACTTTTTGGCAACCCTGTTCCCTCTGTTATTGGGAATGCTGGCCACACCCCTCTTGTATGAATTTAGATATGTCTAAGGACTGATCCTGTGAGGCACAACTCACAGCTTCCAGGAATGTTCTGAATTAAGCTGCCAGGCCAGAAAGAGAGAGAGAGAGAGATGAGCTACTAACCTGAACAGGAGCATTGGTGATGTAACTACCACTGGAAGGAAATTAAATTCTGAGAAGTGCTTTTAGTAGGTTGCTAAAATATTAAAGCATCTGTCAAAAATTAACCATATTATACCAGATCATCTTGTGGCTGTTTAATCTGTAGCTAGATTCATATTACTATAACCCCCTGATAGTATCATGGAAAGTTTTGAATCACACTAGTAATATACACAAAAGTAGGTTCCTTTACCTACCATCCTTTCCCATTCACTTAGTCACAAATGAATTGTGAAATTTAATTCTGCTGACGAAAATTGATTATTCCCATTTCCTAAACTGGCATTTCCAGGAGTTAGCTGTGTTAATCTGTGGCAAAAAAACAACAACCCAGCAACAACAACAAAAAGGAGATTTGTAGGACAAAGTTTTGCAGCATCTTAACAACTGGCTAATAACAAATTGCATAAATAAATGAATAACACAGTAATGAATAAATGAATAACACAATAACACCAGATGATTTTTATTATGACCATTTTTATTAAAACCATAGACTTCAAAGAAGGTGTACTTTCTTTTTCACATGACTGTATGAATACATGTGTGAATTTGTCTGATGGGGGTAGGATGTCTTTCTTGTCTTACATCTACTACCTTTTGTATTCGCACACATCCTCTTCCCACTTTAGGATTTATATCTGACAGAACTCAAGTGCATTTGATGAAGTGGGCTGTAGCACACAAAAACAAATGCCAAATAAAACTTACAAGTTTCTAAGGTGTTACAAAATTCTTTGTTTTTTTCCCTAAAACCAAAGCCACCTTTAAACATACATGAATCATGAGCAAGCTTGTGGATTGGGACAGAGAGACACATCACCCCAGAATTTTAGCAGGGTCACCTTGCCTGCCCTGGTCACAAGCTGTCAGTGATATTAATTGTTTCTGCTACATGAAACTTAATCCAGACAAGACAGAGGTGCTCTTGGTCAGTCAAAAGGCAGATCAAAGAATAAGGATTCAGCCAGTGCTGGAAGAAGTGACATTCCCTCTGAAAATACCAGGTACACAGCTTGAGGTTACTCGTGGATTCATCTCTGAACTTGGATGTCCAGGTTTTGGCAGCAGCCAGGAGTACCTTTGTACAATTAACACCAGTGCATCAGTTGTGCCTGTTTCTTGAGAGGCCTTATCTAGCCATGGTGAAACATGTCCTAGTTACAGCTTGGCTGGATTACTGTAATGCTCTCTATGTGGGACTGCATTTGGAAAGTGTTTGGAAACTCTAGCAGGTCAAAATGTCACAGCCACATTGTTAACTGGAGCTGGTCACAGGGAATATATAGCTCCCCTGTTACAGCAGCTGATCTGTTTCCAGGCTTTAATTTGTTCTGCAAATGGCCAATAGTTGGGCAGCAATAATTGCTTCTCTCCAATCATTGCTGATATGTTTTCTCCCTGGCATTGTGCTAACACACACCTGAATGCTCCAGACCAGCAAACTGCTAAGGCTTCAGCTTGTATAGAGGTGGTCGCACTTGCTGATGATCAGTTGCTCAAGGGCATTTGGTTAGCAGCACCTGGCCACTACTTAGTTTTTCATACACAACTTCTCAATTTTGGCTTCATTCTTGTAAAATAAATCATGCCAGTACAATATGTCATGTTGTTGTTCATCTGAAGTTGTATTTACCTAATTTCCAGACCTGCTAAAGACCAGGTGATTTTTATTATGACCTGATACGTAAAACCATAGACTTCAAAGAAGGTGTACTTTCTTTTTCACATGACTGTAGACAGATAGATAGACAGACAGACACATGGATAGGGAAGTGTCCATAGTCAGCAGCCCATAGTCCAAGCAGGGAGGATACCATACTCAAGAATTTCAGGGCAAGGCTCCTTTTTTTGCTCAGATATTAAGCTGCTCCAGGATCCAAACATATTTTACTTGAGGATGAATACATGCAGAGAGTGATTAACTATTGCTAATCTGTAGGATTGTTATTTCTTTATGGGATCCTATATCATTCACATTGCATGATAGGCAGAAATTCAACTGATAACACTCCTTTTTGATTTGAGGAACAGTTCTTAGGAATATGTCCAGCTATAGGAGCTTATTTTTTAAAAAAGGTTGGCAATCCTACTTACCTAAGATGACCCCAGCATGAAACAGTATATGACTTTTTATATGACTGTATATAACAGCAACTTTTAATATAACCGTATAGAACAGCCCGACTGCAGTTGCAATTTCGATAAGTTGTGCCTATCAAAATTCTCTCTTCTATCACCTGTTAAAGGTGCATTGTATCTGGGTACTGTATCTTACTTATTACATGTGTGCACATTATGATAGCTTCTGTACTAAACTGTACATTTGTTGAACAGAGATGTTAAAGGATTATTATACTAAGAAATTGGGTGGCAGATAAAGTAGATGAATTATGGCCAGATCTTTTCACTTTTATGATCTCTTACATTACCAACTGTACTTTCTTACTGTTCCTACAGCCTGAAAACCTGTTGTACTACAGCCAGGATGAAGAATCTAAAATCATGATTAGTGATTTTGGGCTTTCAAAAATGGAGGGTAAAGGTGATGTCATGTCCACAGCTTGTGGCACCCCAGGATATGTTGGTAAGTGCAAAAATAATTTCATGTGAGAAGGTGTGCAGGATAGTTGCCATATTTATTTATTTATTTGTTTGTTTGTTTGTTTGTTTGTTTATTTAATTTTTCCCTTTTGGTCTTGAGTAGAGATGGGGTTATATCCCTGCACAGGTGGTCATAACGAAGGTCCAGCTCCCTGGGGCCAGACGGTCCATTCACCGATCTGCCACTGCCGCGGATGCCGCGATTCTTCCAATGGCTCTGCAGACTGCGATCTGCAAGCCACTCTTCAACCTTGCAGCGAGGCTTGTCCTCCCGCCTCCTGTCAGGAGTGGCTAGCCATGGGCCCAGACAGTGATCAGATTGCGATCTGCAAGCCACTCTTCAAGGCTTGTCCTCCTGCCTCCTGTCAGGAGCGGCTAGCCATGGGGCCAGACATGGACCCTCGTAATTGGCACCTGCGCAGGGATATTCGAATACGAATACCCCCATCTCTAGTCTTGAGCTTGAACAAGTGCTAATGACGACAGGAGCCTGTGATCCACGCAAAGGGAGCATTTCATTCCAAAATGATGGACTGAGTCCCTAACCCCTGTCTGGGCCCTGGACTGGGGCTTCTTTGGGGGTAATGGCAACTCACCAGCTCACATGTAGTCCAACATGCCCATCTTAGTTCACTAGAAAAGGTTTTTGTTGTCCAGGACAGGAAAAAGAAATGGTGAGTTGGGAAATTAAGTATTTAATTCATGGCTGATTAGTTACAGCTGGCCTGGTTCGGCAAAACGTGCATACATCAAGGCAGTGTCTATAGGGCAGTTTTTGATGGCTTCGAAGAACAGTGGGGAAAGTTTTTAAAAATAAAAATACTTTCTCACATGTTCTGGTGTTGATCCTTATCCTAAACCCTCTCCTTAACAACTGTTTTTTTTTTTCAAAGCCAACCCATTAATTTTATACACAGATCTAATGTATCATCTAGTTTAGCTTTCAGGCAGAGAAGATATAAGATTGAGATGGATTTGAGACTTGATTCCTCTTATGTCTAAACTTTCTGTCCTTTATTCAAAGGGACAGAATTCTGAAGTATCATAATTAGGAGACAGGTTTGCTTGAGGCTAGCATTTGCTTCTGGTTGGAAAAAAGTAAATTGTATCCTGTTTATTTGTGCTATTGGCAGGAAGCCATTTGGTTGGAAGGCAAATATATACAGTCCATATATCTTATGTCACATTTTTTATTAATTATAAAGGGTCAGGTTCTCTCTTTCTTTGTTTTTACCATCTAACTCTAAGGGGAGTGATAGCAGCTATGATATATGAGATGCATTTATGTTGAGGTTTCCAGTTAGGCTTTCTCTACTGTAGTAAATTCATCTTAAAAGGCCATTTGTCTTTGAATTCACTGCTTTTGTCTAAAACAGGGATGGGCAGCCTTTTTTTAAACAGAGGGCTAAGCTAAAAGTTGAAGAATTGTTACAGTACATTCTTGGATGGCAGCAGGAGAAGCCCAGAAAAGCTACAGAACAGAGAACTGAGAGTAGAGTCAGTACCAGTTTTCTTTTAAAAAAAAAGTCCAGGTGGGTAGGTCTTACTATTGTTGTTGATTTGTTTATATAATAGTGTCAGTGTGCAAAATAGTGGTGAGAAGACAGTACCCTGCCCTAAAAAGTTTGCAGTTTAAAACTCAATGGAAGGGAATCATAAATAGAGCAGGGATGAGCTTCCATCAGCTCTAACCAACATACGACAGTTGTGGCCCAGCAACATTGGGAGGGCTACACTGTACAGTGGTGCCTCACTAGATGATGATAATCCATTCCACTGAAATCGCTGTTTAGCTAAATCATCGTCTAGTGAAAAGCATTTCCCCATTGGAATGCATTGAACCCTGTTTAATGTGTTCCAATGGGGAAGTATCGTCGTTGGCTAGTGAAGATCGGCCATAGGAAAGCCACTTTGCGACCCGCCGATCAGCTGTTTAAATAGCTGTCTTGCGAAGCCTAGGTCCCGAAAACACCCATTATGCAAGCACGGAGGGAGCTGTCAAAATCGGGGTCTAGCGAAAATCGGTTTGCAAAACAGGGACCACACATTGTCCAGCGAAATTCCCTCATAGGAATCACTGTTTTGCAAATCGCTATAGCGATCACAAAAAGTCAATGTCTAGCAAAAAAAAAAAAAACTGTCATGCGGGGGAACTGTCTAGCGAGGCACCACTGTACTCACTTCTGCAGGAGAGAGAGAGAGAGAGAGATAGGAAACTGAGGAGGAGTAAACAGGTGGCTTAATTTCACAGTTTAGTGAGGACTAAAGAGATGTGTTGATCTGACATACCAGCAGTCATTCGTGCCTTAGTTACATCATATCTTGACTACCACAATGAAATCTGTGTTGGAACTGACATTGAAGAAGGTCCGGGATTCTCAATTGGTGTAGTATGTGGCAGCTAGGCGGTTAACTGAGGCACAGTATCATGTTAATAAAACCCTCATACTGAAAGACCTGCACTGGTTGCCAACTGCTTGTCAGGCTCAATTGAAGGTATTGGTTTTAACTTTTAAAGCCCCAAATGGCTCAGGGCTTGGCTATCTAAGGGAGTTGTCTCACCAGCCTGTCTAAATGGTCAGATTTTTGGGAGAGGCCTTTTTAAAAATACCAACAGTTTCAGAGGCCTACGTAACAGGCATGTGGCAAAGGGCTATTTCCTGTGTGGCTTCCAGAGTCTGGAATGCACTGCCTTCATAACTGTGATCTGTTTCCACCGTGACTGATTATAAGAAGGGTATAAAAATACATATTTTTAAACAGGCACATGATGCTTACTCTACCCTGCTCTATTTTTTTAACTCCACAGATTTCAGTGGTTTTAATACATAGTTGATTTTAACAGTTTTTATGGTGGTGCTTTTTCTTGATATTATTATTTTATTGTTAAAAGTGGATTTTACATTCTTCTATGAAGACTGTCAGTGTCTTGAGCACTTCTCTCCAGTGAAAAGGCAAAGCATACAGTAAATGTAAAAAGCAAACAAACATGATATTGGAAAGAATCATGTGGCAAAAATCTTAATGCATAAGCAGAATAGCATGGAAGCAATGAGAATAATAATAACAGTAAAACCACATTAACGGCAGGCAGAGCATGGAGTCCTTGGTCATAACCTTAAGAAAGGAAGAGTACGCATGCAGGAAGAAAATTTCTTCCTTAATTTGTGGCTGTAGCAGTCATGTAACAGCCATTCTTCAGAATACACATTTTATAGTAGTAGAACAGAACACCTTCTCAAGGGTAAAACTATATTGCAATGTGGATGTCCCTTCGGTTACCATACATTTTCTAAACACACATCATGTCTGACCCACTATATACAAAAGGACCAGGGAACTACACAACCAACTCAAGCATGACTTCAGATTGCAGTAAGTTTAAGAGGACTAGTCATTTGACTGTTTGACACCAAGATTGTACTGCATGTCCTCAGAAGTGTATCCCAGGATCTGTTGCACCGTCGCGGAACATGTTAGGTGCAGCTCGTCAGCTACACATCAGCATCCGCTAGTAATACAGCATGGAGTAGCTTCTACAATCATGTTATGCAACTTCTGGGGATAGCAAAATGAGTTAGATCTGTACTGAAACAAATATACATATGGAAGTATATACGGTCATGGCCAAAAATATTGGCACCCTTACAATTCTGTGAGAAAATGCAACCCTTCTCTTAGAAAATTGTTGCAGTTCCAAATGTTTTGGTGCTCACATGTTCATTTCTTTGGTTTGCATTGGAACAACACAAAACAAATGGAGAAGAAAAGTCAAATCTGATACAATCCCACACAGAACCCCTAAAATGCACTGGCCAAAATTATTGGCACCTTAACTTAATATTTGGTAGCACCCCCTTTGGAAAAAATAACTGAAATCAATTGCTTCCTGTAACCATGGATGAGTTTCTTATGCCTCTCTACTGGAATTTTGGACCACTCTTCTTTTGCAACCTGGCCCAGAGCCTTCAGATTTGAAGGACGCCTTCTCTGAATTGCTGTTTTGCGATCTCCCCACAGGTGTTCTATGGCAGTGGTCCCCAACCTTGGGCCTCCAGATGTTCTTAGACTACAACTCCCAGAAGCCTTCACCACCACCTCTGCTGGCCAGGATTTCTGGGAGCTGAAGTCCAAGAACATCTGGAGGCCCAAGGTTGGGGACCACTGTTCATTAATCAGAAAGGTGTATGTCTCTAAAAAGCCTTTCTTTTTCTTTCTTTCTTTCTTTCTTTCTTTCTTTCTTTCTTTCTTTCTTTCTTTCTTTCTTTCTTTCTTTCTTTCTTTCTTTCTTTCTTTCTTTTGATTGAAAAGTGACCGATGATCAGAGTTTTTGATTTCTATTTTTCATAAAATGGCATCCTCCAGTCTTGCTTTTTATGCCTTTGTGTCAGCAGTGGTGTCCTCCTGGGTCTCCTACCCTTTTCATTCAGATGGTGATGGATAGTGCAAGCTGACACTGTTGTACCCTGTGTCTGCAGATCAGCTTGAATTTGTTTGGAAGTTAATCTGGGTTCTGTATCCACCATTCAAACAACCCTTTGTTGTAATTTTTCAGTAATCTTGCTCTTCCGTCGACCTCCAGGGAGGTTAGCTACAGTGCCATGAGCTGTAAACCTTTTGATGATACTGCACACAGTGGACACAGGAACATTAAGATCTCTGGAGATGGACTTGTATTATTGAGATTGTTGATGTTTTTCCACAATTTTTTTCTCTCAGATCCACAGACAACTCTTCGCACTTCATTCTTTTCTCCATGCTCAGTGTCACACACAACACAAAGGTTGAGTCAACTTTTCTCCATCTTAACTGGTTGCAAGTGTGATTACTATGTTGCCCACACCTCTTGCTTGCAACAGGTGTGTCTAAATACAAATTAAAGGAGCACTACATGCTTGAAAAGCAATTATAATTTAGACAGGGTGCCAATAATTTTTGCCAGAGCATTTTGGTTTCTTTGTGGGATTGTATCAGATATGACTT